AACTATAGAAAGTGCAGGGAACATAACATTTCAATTCCTGGCTGTTTTCAAAGAAACAGCAGAAGTCTTAATAACTGAGGAACTCACATTCTCAGGTTGGGGTAGGTGTAAAAAAAAGAAAACTGAGGAATTCATACATTTCATCACTCTATCTTGAGATTTTATTTATTGATTTGAACATAAGAAAAGTCCTGAATTCTTTTTTTAATTGTATTTTTAATCGATTCATAATAATTATACATGCTCATGGTGTCCATGGTGATGTTTTGATACATACAATGCATAGCGATCAAATCAGGTTTATTAGTGCGTCCAGCTTATCAAATGTTAATCATTTCTTTGTGTTGGAAACATTGAACATTCTTCTTTGAGCTGTTTGAAACTGTATAACATTATTATTGTTAACTGTAGTCATCCTACAGCGGCATGGAATGCTAGGACTCATTCCTCCGTCAACAGAGAAGAAGCCAAACTTTGTAAAATAGTTTAAAGAGGTTTATTCTGAGCCAAACTGGAGGATCACGGCCCGGAACCACTCCCAGGAATCCTTGAGCTAGTGGACTCGCCGTGGCTGGGTCACGGTTTGGTTTTATGCATTTCAGGGAGACGGGGGTTACGGGTAAAGTCATAAATCAATACGTGGGAGGTGGACGTTGGTTTGGCCCGAAAAGGTGGGACATCTCGAAGCAGGGGGCTTACAGGTTACAGGTGGGTTTAAAGACTCTTTGACTTTTAATTGCTTAAAGACAGGAAGCTTTGTCTAGAGGCTTGGAATGTGTTACGATAAGGAGGTCTGTTAATCAGAGACGAGCCACCAGACATAGTTGTTGTGTAAATTGAGGACCTGCAGGTGTGACCAGGACAGCCTGCCCACAGGTCACAGCGTTATCTGTCATCCAAGCCTCCAGCACACGCCCGTCCCCGCCAGATGCCCTCGATGATTTCAACCAACGCTCAAGATTTCTACTCTGCACCATTCACGCCATCCAACCTGTCGCTCTGAGCCATGTAATCAGATTAGGCATTTTGCAATTTTAAGCAGGAGTTTGCAATATGGTCGTGTCTATGGAGAACACGCTGGATGCTTTGGGAAGGTGGAGGAAACGTGAGTCGCCCAAAAACGTTGCCCTCGTATTAGACGCAGGTGAGACGACCCTCACACATGGCGGGCGGGAGAACCGTAAAAACGTCAGCCCCTTCCGCGCGCGGGTGGCTGTGCGAGGGTCTTGGGCTTCCTCCTCGTTTTCAGGAAAGCACACTGAAAACGGTATTACTATGGGATGCCTGCAGGAAACTGACAAATGGCCTCTCCCCACCACCAGACGTGCATGTTCCAACCTAATCCACGTGATCTCTGCATGTTGCGTTATACCAAAAAGTAGGGGTGGGGTTCGGAGGGCTTTGCATGAGTGATGAAGGGTCTTCGGACGGGGGCTCACCCTGGTTTATCCCAGGGGGGCTCTAAATGCAACCGCGCTTGTCCTTGTAAGAGGCAGAAGGAGGTTTGCTGACACACACCCAGGACACACACACACACGTCCCGTGGGCACGGGGCAGGCACAGGAGGGACCCGGCCACAAGCCAAGGGACGCCACGGATTGCTTGCCAACACCAGAAACCGGAGACAGGCGTTCAACAGGTTCTCCCTGGAGCCCCCCGACGGAACCAAACCCGCCCGCACCTCGACCTGGGACTTCCAGCTCCAGGACTGTGAGAGAATGGATTTCCGAGCTTTTAAAAGCGCCGAGTGTTACGCCAGCCTCGGGAAAGTCACGCACTGGGGACCAAATGTAAAGGTCGCTCTGATGTCACTCAGGTGAGGGCCACCACATGCTCTGCTAGAAGCCAGTTGGGAACAAAAGGTGACATCAGGCTCTCAGGAGCCACCGCAGGCTTTGCATGTGTGTCTTTCAGCCCCTGTGTCCCCTCCAAGAGTCTTTCTTTGTCCACCCCTCCCAAGCACCC